AAAGTTGGTCAACGCCAGCTGTAATAGTTAAGAATATTGGGGGTGGTGGTGGTGGGGGGTGGGGGGCTAACCATGACCTCCTAATCAAGCTTTTTTCGCGCTACTCCCTCCGGTCCCTTTTAAGTGTCTTTTAAGGTTTTGGCATACCCTTTAAGAAATTCAGTTAATAACATTAATTATAAAAGGTATTTGACTAAATTGTCCCTTATCTTTCTTTTAAACATGGAAAGATATTTTAGAAAGTTGCATGGATCATTTATTATAGCAAAGGGCAAATTTGAGAAAGAATAGTTAATGCCGTCTTGGTTTGTTAAACAACACTTATTTTGGACTAAATGTGAAAGGCTAGAAAGACACTTCCAATGGCCGGAGGGAGTACTTTGCAAAGTTGGTCAACGCGAGCTTCAAGCTCTTTTTGATACTTTCCTGGCTGTGAACAACTTCCAAAGCTCTTATAATATCTTGTATCAAAATTGGCCAGCTTTTCTGAATGAAACCCATGGAATAACCATCCGGCTCAGGTGCTTCATTTGCGCAACTCACGAATTAGCACCTGCCTTTTCATTTGTGATAGCAAAAGTGTAAGCTTTTCTGACCCTTAGAGAAAAATAAATAAGTTCATTTAGGCGAAGGCTAGCTCATACTGAACACAAGCATCTCTGTTATTTTTTTTCTTTCTGATGAAGTCATCAAAATCAATGAGCTAAACGTTGTACATCTTTTGTATGTAGTGATAGGTAACTTAAAGTTTATGGCATGGGAAGTTGCACTTCTCATGCTATTGTTTGTACTTTCAGTATCTTTGATGTTTGTATTTTGACTAATTCCTGGCATCTGATTATCGACTCATTTGGAGCAGGTCACAGGGAATGACGGTGAATCTGATGGGGATCGACACGCTTCCATTTTTGTTCTTGGAAGACAGTTCTTTGTTGCCATGGTGATGTTAGATACTTGGCAATATTTTATGCATCGGTACATGCACCAAAACAAGTTCTTGTACAAGCATATCCATGCCCAACATCATCGGCTAATTGTTCCATATGCATTTGGAGCTTTGTACAACCACCCTTTAGAGGGTCTGATTCTTGACACTATCGGTGGGGCTCTAGCTTTCCTTGTCTCAGGCATGTCACCACGTACCTCCATCTTCTTTTTCTCCTTTGCTACCATCAAGACGGTTGATGATCATTGCGGACTATGGTTGCCTGGAAACCTCTTCCATATCTTCTTTAAGAACAACTCCGCTTACCATGATATTCATCACCAGCTTTATGGGACCAAGTTTAACTATTCACAGCCGTTCTTCGTGACGTGGGATAGAATACTTGGTACTTACATGCCATATGAACTTGAGAAAAGACCAGAAGGAGGTTTTGAAGCTAGGCCTGTTAAAGATTGCAAGGAACATTGACAATACTGTTAGTACATGTTTGTCATAGAGTATGTACCACTGCATTTCTTTCCTTTTCTGAAATGCTTTAGTTACTCAATTAATTTGTATATAGTTATATGTTTCTGCATATATTGTTGTATAACTGGTGTTCTTTTTGAGTTTGAAAAAGGAATAGGGTCAAATAATAGTTTCCTTTTTAAACATTGTCTCAGATTCTGATTTCTGGTATTCAACTACAAACAGATACAAAGCTTTTTTAGAAATATATTGTGTGCCTTGGCGTCTGGACATGTATTGTAACTTTCTCATTGCTCTCTTAGCAGAGTTGTGTGATGTGGAGTTATATTGAGTTGGTCAAAATCCTGATCTCATGCCCTAAGCTTTCGTTTGAAACGCGCGGGATGTGTGTTTGGTATTACGGAAGTCATTTTTCACGAAAATGTTTTTCATGAGGAAGTCATTCCTATCAACTATCTTAAAACTTTTAATTTCGGATCAGTTGCTTCAATTAACACTTACACATTATTATCAATCTTTAGTATTCAAAAACATTATAATATCAGATAATTGCAACAATAGTATTTTTATTAATCTTTAATAGGAGTATATATTTTTTACATAATTTTTTTAACTCAATTAACCATACACCGATAATATACAATAATAACCAGACCAACGGACTAGCTAAATATTTTTATACATTTGATATCTAGATAAAAGTTATTGGGTTCACATAAATCAGTAATCTTTGCACTAGATCCTCCCCTGAACAATGTTATGGTCTTTCTCTTTTTAGTCGCTTGAGGAATACACTTTTTAGACCAATAAATAACAAACAAAGATCTTTTTTCATATATGTTTCAGTTTATATCAGACATACCTTAGTGTTCACATCCAACAAATATATATTTGTTGTTACAGCCAGAAATTTCAGTTGGCTTTGATGAGTTTATCCATCTTTCGCAGCTAAAACAAGTTTTCTTTTTTCTATTGATGATACTTCTATTTCAAGAATTATGTGTAGCATCTCAAGGTCTGTTGAAAATTCCAATACAGGGAATGGAAAGCTGCAAATACCCTTGTATTAGCATTCCAATTCCCGAACATTAGGTGCTTTTCTCAACATCAATTCAAAATCCTCGGCACAAGAAAAATATGGCTGAGAAAGAGTGCACAAATCATAAAACTTTAAGGAGTCGTCAATCAAATGGTTTCTCTGCATTACTTATAGTGAAGTACTGAGCAATATTTAGGTGTCTCAATTTAACCATCCTTCTAAGTGTTACCGGTAACGATATTTGCCTCCTAGATTTTAATACTAGAGTTTCAAGATTCGAAAGATTGGATATGGATGTCGGGATTGAATTCTGATCAATTTCTGCTGAGAAATATCTCATGTAAACTAGATCAGCTGGAAAAAAATTGATGTACAAAAGAGTTACTGTAAATTGCACCCAACGATGTGGCTTAACGGTCAAATAAGTGGGTTTAGACGATGAGGTCTCAGATTCAATTCCCAGTGGAGAGAAAAACACTAGGTGATTTCTTCTCGTATGTCCAAGCCTCGGTATATAGACTTACCAGATACTTGTTGTTGGTGGAAAGAAATTGTCTTTAGGATACAATAATGCCAACAATCGATTGTATGAATTCAAATTTAGTGGGCGTTTGGACATAAGAATTGTAAAGTTTCAAAATAGGGGGAAAAGTTAGTTAAAATGGTATTTGAAATTTAGAGTTGTGTATGGACATGAATATAATTTTGGGTTGTTTTTGAAGTTTGTGAGTGGAAATTTTGAAAAACAGCTTTTTGGAGTTTTTCAAATTTTCGAAAATTTCCAAAATGCATCTTTAAGTGAAAAAAGTGGAAATTTTATGAACAAATGCCGATTTTGGAAAAAAGTGAATTTTTTTTTGGAAAAAAGGAAAAAATTTCTTATGTCCAAACAGACTCAGAGCATTCGCTAGGAATACAATGTATCTAACGTGACTCGAGAAGTTATGCAGTATTTCTGAGTAAGATCATGAAAATCAATATGAAGAGGTAGAAGGACATATTTGTACCAAGTCGAATAGTCTGAGGACAAATTTGGCCCTTTTCTTCCGTTCTTTCTTCTTCCAATGAGGGACAAAATAACCTTTCTCAAATATCCAGGGTCAAACACTAACTAATCTAACATAATATAGATCGAAGAATATGAAATTACACGAATGCTACTAATACTACTGGGAATGATAGGGGAACTCTCGATTACCTACTAGTCTTCTACCCTAATTCTCAACCTCTTATCATGGATCATGTCCTCAGTGAGCTGAAGCAGTCCTGCTTAATCACCTTTCCCCAATACTTCTTTGTCCTATCTCTACCTCTTCTTAGACCCGCCATGACCAACCTCTCGCACCTCCTAACATGAGCATGTGCTTCTCCTTTTCATGTGCCCGAACTATCTCAGCCTCAACTCCAGCATTTTGTCCTCCACAAGGGCCACTCCCACTTTGTCCCGAATAACTTCATTCCTAATCTTATCTCTCCTGGTATGCCCACACATCCATCTCAACATCCTCATTTCTGCTACTTTCATCTCCTGTTGTGAGAACTCCTCGTCGATATCCCCATTACCTTGGATTATAGACCCCAGATACTTGAAACTACTTCTCCCGAGGAAGACTTGGTAATTGATATTTAGGAAGATGCCCCGTTAAAGCCCAAGTCTAATTCAAAGTAAAGGCTGAACCTGGGCCAATGGCAGGTGAGTATCAAGCTTCATATCCATGTTCGCTTCATGAGTTCCGTTTCACTCCAAGTATTTTGTTTTTGTCCTGCGCAACTTGAAACCTTTAGACTCTAGGGTATGTCTCCAAACCTCCTGCCTCCCGTTAACTCCGCCTCGTGTCTCGTCAATCAACATTATGTCATTGGCAAATAACATGCACCGTGACACCTCCCGTGAAATGCGTCACGCCAGCACATCCATCGCCAAGGCAAATAAAAACATGTTAAGAGCCGATTCCTGTTGCAACCCCATCACAGTTGGGAAGTGTTCCGAGTCACCTCCCATAGTTCTTACTCGAGTCTTAGCACCATCATACACGTCCTTAATCACCCTAATGTACGATTCCAGAACACCGCTAACCTCCAAACATCTCCGCAGAATCTCGCTCGAGACTTTATCGTACGCCTTTTCTAGGTCTATAGACATCATATGCAAGTCTTTCTTCCTTTACCTATACTGCTCTACCAATCTCTTCACTTGGTGAATGGCTTCCGTAGTCGGTCGCCCCGACATGAATCCAAACTGTTTCTCGGAAATAGATACACCCCTCCTTACCCTGACTTCCACCACTCTCTCCCAAACTTTCATAGTATGACTAAGCAACTTCGATGAATACTGAAACTGCCACCATAATTCTAGGTTCGCTTCTTCATTGTTGTATGTGCTTCAGGAAATTAGCAGATCATATGATTAATGTTTAAGAAGGATTTTCCAAGTGGAGGACATTAACTAGCATTTCTTTTAGGAAGAAACAGGTAGACAGAAGAGCAAAAGAAAGCATTGTTTAATGTAGAAGCAAAGATATAGTAGTTGCATCACAGCATCTTGGTGAAATCATAAGCAGCACAACTCTTGAGAAAAATAAAATAAAAGGTTGGAACCATTCACCTCAGGAGTCAAAATCTAATGACTCACACCAAACATTAAGGATTGAATGAATAATTTGTTCTGTAGTTATACTATGAAATGTAGGTTACAGTGACTGAAGGATAATTCTAAAGAATTTATTAAAGAAACAACTAAAAAAAATTACATGATGATCTTCTAAATTGCCTCCGGCTACAAACTCTTCAGACTTCAGTCTTCATATTCTGTTGGGAAAAAAAGGACGATTAGTTAAGACTTGAGAGCTGAAAAACATACATATAAACAATTACCAAACAAAGTCATGATCTTTCTTTTTCTGGTGTAGAATTTCTAACTTGAGGAACATGCTTCAGCTTTAGACCAATAAATAATAAAAACTGATTATTTTCATAGATATTTTACTTTGCATGAGAATTGAATGCTAAATAAATGAAAAGGCTTTAGAAAGCTGTCAGACAAAAGGAATAGTTAGTAAAAGGCTAAAAACTTAAATGGCAACTTTTTATAGAAAGGAAATTGCATTTAGCAGAACAAAAATGAGACTGGTAGTGTACCTGAATTTGGATTACTTGATGACGAGCTTGAAATCATCATTTCGATAATCATCAACTTGTATTTCTTGGATAACCCTGGCTGACTTTACAACAGATTCGTTGCCTCAATAGACTTTAAAGAATAGTTGTCTTCGAAACAAGAAGGGATCTCCTTCAGATTTTCTAGTCCACGCAAAAACAAGAGTTCAAGGTTAGGAAATGCGTCATCAGAGGCTGTCCATTCTTCAAGACTGCGACAAAACATTAATTTCAAGACTTTAAGTTGAGGGAACTCGCCATCTCTCACTTCCCATTTTTCATCGTCAAATTCAATGGCCCGAAGGTTCTGAAGCTGAGCAATGTTTGATAAGTGCTCGTGCCCCAGCCTAAAGAAGGACAATTTCAATATTTTGAGATTTGATGCGGAGATGCATACAGGATACCGATGCTGGAATTCTACGGCTTCACCAATAATGTGCAGCGTCTCAAGCTGTGTTGAAAAATCCAATACAGGGAACGGAACGCTGCAAACACCCTTGAATTTGCATTCCAGTTCTCGAATATTAGGTGCTTTTCTCAACATCAATTCAAAATCCTCGACACAAGAAAAATATGGCTGAGAAAGAGTGCACAAATCATAAAACTTTAAGGAGTCATCATCAAATGGTTTCTCTGCATTACTTATAGTGAAGTACTGAGCAATATGTAGGTGTCTCAATTTAACCATTCTTCTAAGTGTTACCGGTAACGATATTTGCCCCCTAGATTTTAATACTAGAGTTTCAAGATTCGAAAGATTGGATATGGATGCTGGGATTGAATTCTGATCAATTTCTGCAGACAAATATCTCATGTAGACTAGATCAGTTGGACAAAAATCAATAACAATGCAGTGCTCCAAATCCAATACTTTTAGAAACTTGAAATTCTGTAAAATGCGTGAAATTGTGAAACCGGGTTTGGGTACGGGGAGACGGGCACAGATATCTGTATCACTCCTGAAAAAGTACAGATCCAACAAGTGAGCAAGACGAGCTCCATTCTTCAAGATTATCCACTTCACGAAAAGCCAAGCGACGTTGCACATGCTGCTTACGAGAGTAAATGTTGGAAGTAGGATTGGCATTTTGATCTTTGTGAATATATAATTAGCAAAATCATAACATTGATTTTCAAATATAATCAGTATACTTGGTCACTGTGAATATATAAATTTGTAAAATCATGTGATGAATTTTCAAATATAACTTGAAATACTTGATTTATTGAGAAAATTAAGTACAATTAATTGGTATATTACCGTATTATCCATAGCAGAAGATTCTCCTCCGTTGCTTTTTCCTTGCAGAACTCGAGCATTACATCATGAAGGCGACATGCTTCAATCTTACCATCTGAACTCCTCTTAACAACCACCACTAGATTTTTTCCAATAAGATTCTCCAAGTAACCTTCGGCTATTTTCTCCAACCTCCTGCTTTCACTTTCAAAACTTTTTATAAATCCTTCTGAGGTCCATAACTTTGTTAACCTGGAAACATCAATCACTCTATCCTCTAAAAATGCTCCAAAGTAAAGGAAGCAAGGCTTAAGATGATATGGTAAATTCTGATAGCTTAGTTCCACAATGGCCTTTGTATCACCATGAATGTGGGAACTTAAAGTGTTAGCCACTTGTTTCCAGCTCTCTTCTTTCTTCTCCATCTTTGCCAGAATACCAGCTACCACAACAATTGAAAGAGGCAGCCCTCCGCACTTTGTTTCTATTTGTCTCCCAACTTCTTCAAGGGAAGGGGAGCACCTTTCTTTACCAAACACTATCTTCTAGTAATTTCCAGCTTTCGTCATCGTTAAACATACGAAGAGGAATGGGTTCACTAACAGATCTAGCAAAATTGGCAACTTCAAGATGTCTCGTTGTTAGAATGATTCTGCTTCCATTTTTGGCATCATAGAAGCAAGGGCTTAAATCATCCCACGCACTAGCTTCCCACACATCATCAACAAGGATAAGATATCTTTTCCGACATAAAATTTTCCGAAGCAAATCTGCTGCATCAGCTCCACTAGACAATCTTGGGGTCTCACCAGTTGCATCACGTAGAATGGCCAGTAGCAAATCTATACGTCTATATACTTGAGACACAAAACATTGTGCACAAATATCAAAGTGTTCAACAACTGAACCATCAGAATAGAGGTTTTCGGCCAAAGTTGTCTTACCTAGGCCAGGCATACCGACAATAGGGATAACGTCTAGTTCTTGGCATCCTTTTGTTAGTTTGTCCCTCAGTTCGTTCCTCACGTCCTCAAGACCAACTATTTTTTCCTTCATCCTTGGAGCCCTAACCAATTGTGATGACTTATGATCATCTATTACTGGACGACGCAATTTTTTTTCTTGAGTCTCTGCTAGATCTGCTTTGACACAAGTAATCTCTTCTGTAATATCGGTGAGCCAATGCTCAAGACACCAGTGAGGAGCTTCTTTGCTTATACAAGCATCAACTATGTATTCCAACTCATATGCTTTGCTAATCAACTGTGTAGCACAATCTTGAAGTCTCTTGTAAGGTCGCTCTTCGGCAACAAATCTTAAAAAAGGTTGCAAGCTCTCAAGTTTCTTCTGAATTATTTGAAGTTGGTTCATGACAAAAGCGAGTGAATCTGAATGGCGGCTCTGGAACTCCTTCAAGTTGTTTAAAAAAAAGTCAACATAGCCTAGTCCATGAATCCTTGGCAAGTTAGATTGAAAAGCCTTTCGAATGATGAGGTATATCATCGCTTTGATAGGCTGAATGTTTCCCCGAAGATCAAGATCAAGTGCTTGGTTCAACTCCTTTGAGCTGGCTCTGTGCATTTGTTTGAAACAAACCAGATGAAAAACCTCAGCAAATTCAACTCCTTCAAAACCTCTTCTATCTGTTCCTTTGATTCCGGAACATAAAGTAGCGAACGAGGATCATCAATCTGCTTTAGAACATTGAGATTCTCTATAACAGCATCGATGAATTCCATTAAAAATTTGGGGGGAGGAATATCATCCTTGTTGGCTGGAAGTGGTATTGATGATACTTCGACGAAGGAGTATTTTGATTGGAAATCCAGCTTTGTCTTCAAAATTCCTGTTGGCACGTGGGAGGTAAAGGGATCAAAATATGGATCCACAGACCCCTCCCAGTCAGAATCAGAGAAAAAAATTCGTTGAGTAGCCTGTTGTACTGATATGGACTTCTTCCAAATTTCTTTCATTTTCTGTGCGACATCTAGCATGCCGCATTCACCTGCGAAGGTGAAGCTCAGCAGACGGAGAAAACTGTCCAGGAAATTTAACTCCCACAGAAAGAACTCCAATCGATCCCTTGAATCATCGTCAATGTTAGAAGGTCGAAATTCAAA